GTTGTTCCTCTTCCTTTTTCTCTCGGGTTTTGCATCACTCCAGCCAGGTAGGGGCTGAAGATCCTCAGTGATCAGTTTGTGGGGTCTGGGAAAGTTTTTTTCTCTTTCCGGTTTTTCCCTTTCTCTCTTTTTAAAGATAAAAGATTAAAAAAAAAAAAAAACCTGAGAAGGGGGGCTGGGGGATTGAATGAATAAGAAGGGGAAGGAAAGCGGATCCACGTGGTTTAATCGGAGACAGACAGAGATCCCATTGTTCAAAATCAATAAAAAAAAAAAGAAAAAAAGGAAAGCGGCCCGGCGGGCGGGCCGAGGAGGCCAGCGGGTGCGCGGCCCCGAGTTGCACGTTAAAGTTTATTTTCCGTGTCTGTCGAGCAGGTGTTGGGGCTGGGGGTGCCCACCCCGAGGGACTTGGCTGAGGAACGTTGACCCGGGTGCACTCGGGGTCCCGGCCGGCGGGGCGGGAAGGGTACTGTGTACTCAGAACCGGCCGGGGAAGGGGCGCGGCGGCAAAGCAGCAGGTGGGGTGGGCGACCGGAGGGGAGCCTTTTCCTCACCCCGGCGCCACCAGCCCCCTTCCAGGGTCCCAGAGCCGCAGCAGCTAAAATCCAGGCGGCCGGGGAACCCGGCTCCTGCCCTGCGCTTTTCCGGGACGAGGTTGCACGCGCGGTGCTGGTAGTGCGCAAAGCTAACTCCGGCATGGGCCGGGGGTCGTCCCGCTCCCCCAGGCCCTCGCGCCAGGGACTCCCCGGCGCGCCCCGCGGGGCCGGGAGGGGCACGATCTCCTCCCCGCTCGCCCCTCCGCCCACCCCGCGGCCGCCGCTTTGGGGAGGGCAGGGGAGGAAGTGGAGGCCGGGTGGCTCGTCTCCTCCCCTCCCCCCCGCAGTTTATAACCCGTCCATTGTGCGCCGCTGCCCCGTGTCTCCCTCCAGCCGCGACCATGCCCAGGAAGAAGGCGGTGGCGGCGGCCTGGGAGGAGCCGAGCTCGGGCAACGGCACGGCCCGTGCGGGGCCCAGGAAACGCGGCGGCCCGGCGGGCAGGAAGCGCGAGCGGCCTGAGCGCTGCAGTAGCAGCAGCGGCGGCGGCAGCAGCGGCGACGAGGACGGCCTGGAGCTCGACGGGGCCCCCGGCGGCGGCAAGCGAGCGGC